AACCCAAAGAAAGCCACAGGCACGTCTCCTTCCCTATTGGCAGCTACTTTAATTGGCAGGTTCACAATGAGCACTTTTGTTTGCATCCTAAACATGCACAGGATGATTAAAATGTTTAATACTTTCATCCTGCAAGTGCAGCAATCAATATGTTGGGTTTTTTAACAGGCCAAGTCATTACACATTTAAATAACCTCATTCAAACACTTAAGGAACTTGTTTTACAAGGACTAAAAAGGTTCCCTATTGAAAATTATATGGATTTAGCTCAGTTTAAAAATAGATATTTTGTTTTCCATTCAGTTGCTCCGCTATTTGCTGCTCTTTGCTTGCATATGTAGTCTCTGAGTATTTTACTACCCCCTGCTGTATGGAAAGAAAACTGTGCAGTAGTTGTGTACTATGCTGCTAACACCTCTTGAGATCTCCCCATCAGCTGGAACACCAAGGGGATGGATTCAGAGTGGTTGGAGATATAGAATTCTGTTTGGGTTGTCACATGAAGTTCCTAGTGGGTATGGCAGGGATAACAGGGAACAAAGTTTTCTTGACAGCACCGAGATCATAGGCCGTTGCTGGAGCAGAATGGTTACTGGGTTTGTATAGTGCATATCATCATGTTTCCCAAGCAACTAAAAGTGCTTTGTGAAGCAGTGAGTCAGAGTCTGGTTGTGCAGTAACCACACACAGTGATTTATGTTTTCAGAAACTATGTGTTCAAGAACAGGATATTGTTATATATGTCTCTAGCACTAACACTGTTGAACAGCCACTGAATCAGACTGACCACCTCTAAAGCGTGTGAGCAACATTTGGTGTACTACTGTGTACCAGAACAACCCACATAATATTCACTCACTTGGGCTGCTATATTATGTGAAGAAACTCTCGCACTTTCAACTCAGCTGAACTGCCTCTCTTGGTTAAGGGCATAATACTGAATTGCCTTCCACATTCACACGAGAAAATGCACATTTTATGTGCAGTTTGCAGCTCAAATAAAGAGTACACTCAAATATTGCTCACCTATTATCAGAAGCCAGAGACAAACATTTCTCTTACATTTTTTTCACAAAGTAATTTGCCAGAAAATCTCATTCTTCTACCATCAGTTCCCTGTGCTGGAAGAAAAGGGATTTGAATTTGTGCTCAGTGGCATTTCCTCTCCTGCTGCAGTTCACACTGGGTTAACCTGGTGTTCACACAGGGTAAACTTATTTGAAACTGGTGTCGAGGCTGGTTGGTGGCTGGTTCACCATAGCCCTGCCCCACCTGCCTGGCTGAGTAGCAAGGTGGTCTGCTCCCTGGACTGCCCAGCTATTTGTCCCAGTCATTAAACTGGAGCACCCTTAAAAAACCTGGTTTTTTAAAGGCAGTTCATGTTGGACTGTAACCTACTGTCAGGAATAATGGTAATTTAATATATGTATTCCCCAGCAGCAGAACAAGTCATAAATAGGAAGTCCCAGAGTTCAGATTCAATCCCTTGGTCCACAGGGGAAATGACCTGCTCCAAAACTTTTGCTGGCACCAGTCATTTCCAGCTCAGTGCCAAAACTGATGCATGTCCAGTGGTGGATAAAATCTACCAAGTCTTCAGTACTATTTGCAGTCTAACATTGCCTGCATATGAGACTGCCAGCAGTTTGGCATTGCCTGTTCTTCCTTGACAATACCTCCACCTTTGACAATAAGTTTAGGCAGAAAAAGAAAGGAACTGCTTATAATCACTTGTTCCTTTGGGTGAGCAGGAACCTTAGTCCATAAATAATTTCTGTTGCTTTGGCACAGTGCCTCTGTCTCTGAGTAAGGCACCAGTCTACCACCCTCTCTTCAGGGCAAGCCACCTGTAAAGGGTACACAGCAGTATGGCCACATGATTTCATTCACTGCAGCAAAATGGGCTCAGCAGATAGAGGCAGACAGCAATCCAAATTCCATTTCAGTTCCTAAAACAGAACTGATAATCACAGAATCACAGAATGTGCCAAGTTAGAAAGGACCCACAAGGATTATCAAGTCCAACTCCTGGCCCTGCATAGGACCATCCCCAAGAGTCATACCATGTGCCTGAGAGTATCATCCAAACACTTCTTGAACTTCATCAGGCTTGGTGCTGTGACTAATTCCCTGGGGAGCCTCTTCCAGCATCCAACCACTCTCTGGTTGAAGAACCTTTTTCTCATATCCAACCTAAACCTCTCCTGACACAACTTCAGGCCATTTCCTTGGGTCCTGTCACTGGTCATCACAGAGAAGAGATCAGTGCCTGCCCCTCCTCTTCCCCTCAGTTAAAGCTTCACGAGGAAGCTTTAACTGCAATGAGGTCTCCCCTCAGCCTCCCCCAGGCTGAACAGACCAAGTGACCTCAGCCATTTCTCATACAGCTTCCCCTCAAGGCCCTTCACCACCTTCATTGCCCTCCTTTGGACACTCTTATAGCTGAATATCTTTCTTACATTGCAGTGCCCAAAACTGCCACAATATTCAAGGTGAGGCCACCCCAGTGCAGAGCAGAGAGGGACAATCCCCTCCCTCAACCAGCTGGTGATGCTTTGCCTGATGCCCCCCAGGACATGGTTGACCCTCCTGGCTGCCAGGGCACTGCTGACTCATGTTCAACTTGACATTGATCAGGACCCTCAGGTACTTTTCCATGGCACTGCTCTTCCAGTGTCTCATTTCCCAGTCTGTACGAACACCCAGGGTTGCCCCATCCCAGGTGCAGAATCTGACACTTTCCATTGTTGAACTTCATATGGTTGGTGACTGCCCTGTCCTCTAATTTGTTGAGGTCTCTCTGCAGGGCCTCCCTTCCTTCTAGGGAATCAACAGCTTTCTGTCATCTGCAAACTTGCTTAATATCCCTTCCACTCCTGCATCCAAGTCATTTACGAAGATGTTGCAGAACACAGGGCCCAAGATGAAGCCCTGTGGAACTCCACTAGTGACAGGTCACCAGTCTGATGTTACCTCATTCACTATTACCTTTTGTGCTTGACTTGGACTATGGACCTTCTGATGACGTTCAGCACTGAGTGATGCTAGTGGATTATAAAGGTGCAACAGGGAGAGGTTATGCAATGTATACCATGATAGAGATGGATTAGCCAGATAGTTTCCTACAGCCAACTGTTTGTAAATCTAGTCATGTCCAGCACAACTGACTTCTCTAAATTTCTATTACCAATTCTTATAAAAAATAATGCATTTGACTATATTTTGCTATGATGTCAAATACATTATTTGACAAATTTTTTTTTTAATTTAATTTTTTTTCAGACAGTTCAGCTAACTCCAATAATAAAAATGCCTTATTCTGTCATCATCCAATTCACTTCCCATTTCAGGAAAAAAAATCAAGACTAAACATCTACCAAATGTTATTCCTCTCCAACTGAATATGACGGATGGTCTGAGGATCACATAAAAATTAAACAAAAAGTGCATTGTTCCTTTCCAGATTTTTCAGCTGGTGTAAATCAACATAGTTTCACTGATGCCAAGTTGCAGAGATGTACATCAATTGAGAATCTTGCCCTTCATCTTCAGAGAGAGATATTTTACCTACAATTTAGTTTCTCTGTCAGGCTCAGGCAAACTTCAGCCTACTTTCCTTTCGTGCTCTGCATATCACAATAAATAATCTTCGTTTTGGTAAGTTCCTCACTGCTCCTAACCTGAGAAGAGGTCCTGTGGAGAAGGCACAGAACAGATGTAACTGGTCAGCTACTCTGTCCAAGACTGTCTGACTGAGATCCAGGCATCGTAATTACTCAGTATTTCAGTCCTGATTTGTGAAATACATCCTTAGCAAAGAGAAGTACACATAGGCTTGTGCATTGATCAGGTCCCATGATGCTGTAAAATCTATAAAAAACTTAATATCAAAATGAAATAATTTCAGTTTAATTTAAAGTGCAGTCCTAAAGGTACTACCACTTTCCATGTAGTTTGATCCTTCTAACTCCTTTATTCTCTCTCCCTGAAATCCAGAGGAGCCCAACTACAGCAGGGACCAGATATCCTCTTCCAACCACCTGGGAAGCTGCAAGCATGAGGGAGAAGGAGCCTTTATAAGGTTAAACTCCAGGACTGTCAGGCTCCAAAAGTCTCTTGCTCAGGGTGTCTCATGCACAGGGAGAAAGGTACCTGCAGCCCAGACTCAGGAAAATGACTGCATCGCCAGTCCATATCTTCACTTCTCCAAAGGAGCTGGCAGGGACCCAACTCTTAACCATCATCTCTAAAATGCTGCTTCCAGACTTTTTACCCTCATTTGCTGTAGCACCATTGGTTGTTTGTCTTCCTTCAACCTTCCCTGTCTCCCTCCCCAGGATCCTTTTCTCTTCCCAGTCTTCAACCACAGTCCCTCCCAAACCATACTAATGAAAGCTTTGTTTTCATTATATAAGCCCAGCACGTAATCAAATACATTTAAAAAATAACAAAACTGTGGAACTGACAAGACATGTGTCTACCATCAGCCCATATCCAAATACTGAGGTTTGAACTTGGCTCAGACACCCCTGAAAATGCCAAATGCAGATTTCCACAAACACAGGGAAATGGATCCATAGCTGATGTAAACAGAATAAAGGTGCATTGTTTAAAGTTGCTTAGCAAAAACATACGGTAAATCGTAGATGAGAAGAGAGTTGCAGATTTCAGGCTGACAAGCTCTTACACATATATTTAACACTAAGCAAGTGAGGGTCCCACCTTCAAACGGGACGCTCACAAGCTTAAAGGTAAGTAGCTGTTCAAGAACTTGAAGAACAGAAGTCTCAGTTCTATAGGCTCTTTTTGTACTGAAACCCAATCCACATTTAGACCTTAGACATCTCTGTAATAATTCAAATCAGGCATCACCAGACAGACTTCTTTTTTTTGTTTCAATTGGTTTTGAGGCTAAGATTAAAAACACATTAAGCTCCCCTATAACTGAATTCAATTAATTTGCTGAGGTCTACAAGTGCACACGAAACCAGAACAGAACATGAGGGATCAACCAGTCTAAGTTACAGGAAAAAAAAAATGCAAATTTGAAGATTTCTTACAGACGGTTTTTAGATGGAGGATCTGATTTATATGGCAAAAACTCAGCCTTGCTCCAAGGTGCCTGGCCATGGACGAAACAAATGGTAATTCAACTCTTCTCCCAGGGATCTGACAGAGTTGGACAACAAAGCAGACTGGCAGCCCTCATGGAAGCCTTCAGATGTTTTCACACTATAGAGATGTAGCATCCAGTTTAAGCATTAGCAGGAGCACAGAAGTTGCATTCCCATCTGCAGAGTGTTCAGCATAAGCTGAGCTCTAGCTTGGTGCAATTGCATTGCTCATGGCGAGTTGACAAGTTTGCAGCTAGCCAGATCACGCCTCATCACAGCAGAAGACTGACCTGAAGACATGTCAGGATAAGAAAAGTCAATACAAAGGAAAAGGGGATGGGAGGGGTTTGGGGGGGGCAAGAAATGAATACAGAAATAAGGAAGCAAATTAATAGAGAATAAGAAATGTTTAAAACATCAGTTTTCCCTGTTGAGTACAATTCTCTTTGTGTTTGGGATGTTACTGTTGATTTTCTGTTTGGGCTGTTTTGTTTTTTCTTAATGTTGTTACATATAATTTTTCTTCTAGAACAATCTTCTATAAGGTAATAAAATGCTTCTGCGTTGACCATTCCTGAAAATGATTTTATGAAAGAAGGAGACAGCAAGAAGCCCAACTCCTCTTTCACAATAAGTAAAACTGTCCCACTGGGTCTCTGGTCATGATAATATACTATGGGAAAAAAAGGACTACAAACATATTACAAGCAATATAATAAATAGCATGTGCAAAATGTACAGTATAGTAAATACACTACAGGGACTACTTACAGAGTCTCTTCCACTCCATAACCATCAACCATCTTCTGTGGTTTGGCACATCAAATATTTGCTATGTACGTTACTATTTTAAAAGCATTGCAAATCCTTGGCTGGACACCAAACAAATGCTGTATGTTTCTTTGTCAATTATTGCCTTGTATTTTCAATACCCGACACCCCCTCCCCCCGTGCAGTTCAATGTGTAGAAACACCAATAAAATACACAATGTTTATTTCCAGTGACACATGTTACAAAATGGGTTTGTCGCATTGACAAAGCAAAGGATTTCTCTTTAAGGGGAAGTCTCAAAGGAAATCTACCCCATTAGGAGACAAGGACTTCAAAATTATATTTGAGAATCACTTCTGTTAAAGAACCATTTTGCAAGTTGTGTAAGCACAAGGTCCATTATATGAATAATAATATGGGACTTTCTGCACTACTGTGGAAGGACTGACATGAGTGATCCTTATGCACTCCTTAAATACACCACTGAGTAACACCACACTACATATTAATTAATATTTATGCCACTAATGCACATACATACCCCAAACAGAGCCATGTGCCCAGGTAAGGGAAGAGAGAGAAAAAACTTTAGGCAGGTAAGATGGGGACACTTATCCTTGCTAGAGGCTTGGCTGGGCAAGAAGATCTCAGAAGTCAAATTCCACAGCAGCTCCCAATAGCAAAGATGGATCAGTTCATCATCTCCTAGCAGGCTGGATACCCTGCAAGGGTTTTCTCACTCCTGCCTGCCTTGGACATGTCAAAGAAATCAGCATCTTTATAAATTAGAGAATACTATATCTTATCCAAGAAGGAAAAGAGAAATAATGAAAGAAATCAAAGGAATCCAGAAGAATGGAAATACAGAAGCAAATTATTGAGATTCTGCTTATACATGGAATAGAAATAAGACTACTAAGAAGGTTGCAAATTGTGATATCAGGCAGATGCCAGCAGAAAGAAGAGTGATTGCCAGCTTACTGAGTACAACCTAGATATCAGAAGCAGTCCATCATGAGTAGGAACCAGATACCGGGATGTTGTCAAGTGGCCCTGGCTCAGATCAGTAACAGGAGATTAGAAGATATACTGGAGGATGATCATGGTTCCATGATCCAATGTGTCCAATTTCTTATCAGCACATCTGACACCTTTTTTACCAGCTCTAAAATATTTCTGCTACTGGCCTGGCCTGGATTCAAGCTGGAATCTGCAACAAAAAATTCCTCTCTAGTACGAGCAAATCCTAAACTTTGCAGTCCATACTTCTTTCTAAATAAATTTTCTGTAAATAATAAAAATGAACTTGCAGAAATTGAAGATGGTTCAAAGAGGCATATTTGAAATGAAGAAATATGTTCCAGATTTTCCTGAGAAAAATAGTATCAGGAAATTAAAACACATACAGCATACATTAGGATACAGAAACTACTATTATTGCTATTATATGCCAGTCATAATGTCACTAAAAACCTTGTCAGTTCTCATGGATTTGAGTTTGTATGGAAATCGCTTACATTAAGTACTGCTTTTAAAAAACTGTTGTGTAGCATATTACAGTTCCTCCTAGGCCATTGAGGGTTTTTTCTGAGATATATTAAAATCTAATAATAACAGGTCCTGCAGTTCGTTACAAAAGTTTAGGATTTTGCACTCTCTTATAAAAGAGGACATGTCAAAGCATTACATTAGCAAAGTGTTTACCTCGCTATCATGAAATTATATCAGTGAAGAATACATGCTCTAGGGCATCCAGCTGTCTCTATTTGTACTCAATGACAATCTTCCATCAGAAAGTGCATCCATAGTGAGGGCACTGGGCATTTCTGGAGCATTTAAGTTATCTATATCCCATGTGACATAAATTCTTTTCTTAAGGTCAGCTGAAATGCAGAGTCTCTCATTCCCTTCCCCTCAGACTCTATTTAGATCTGCAGACAAATGTATATTTGTCAAAATAACTCCTTGTAGAAATGTAGCCAACTCAATTTACAGACTGATACATCTGCACCAAAGACTGACCCCAAGTCTTGGTTTGAGTTATTTAACTCGAGGAAAGCAGCCACTTTATCACTGGTTTTGTCAGAAGATTGATTACCAATGGACACTTGCCAATGCTAAACTGATCCAGCTTGAGGATGGATGTTAAGTCCAGACATTTCTTTCAGGAGATTGTTTTCTTCTGTGCAAGCAGCTAAGCTTTCATTTCCAGAAATATGTGAATGTCCAGAGTTTGGTGCTGTAAGGATAAACTATAAATTCAGAATCAAATATTACCTGATCCTGCCATGTGAGATTGAAGCTGAAAAAAAAAAAAAAAAGCTTTTGAGAATTAGAACTTGAAAGTCACCTCAAACCATGTTAGCACTGAACTCTAATAATGGTCCATGTCTAGTGAACGTTGTCTGCCATTTCACATGTATTTCATACATATATATGTATTTCACATATGTGTGTCTTAAGTGTGTTACAGTGATTTCCACATTCTTTTAAGAATGACTTCTCATTTCAGTGTTTCATTATGCCAATAACTATTCAGCATTACAGTCAGTGGCATGCTAGCCCTCAAGCACTTACTTGCCCTCAAGCTTCTCTACAGTTCCTCTGCCGGCAATTTTCCAGAAAGGGTTTTGGCTCCTCAGAAGTCTACAGACGTGGTTAAAAAGCAGTAAATATAACCAACAACATGAGACTGCAAAAGGTAAGACAAAGAAATCACTATATATCACTAGATTTTGAGGTCCAAAAGACATCTGATTGTATAACAGAGGCCACAGGGTTTCATCCAGGTACTTTTGCACTGAGCCGTATAATTTCTGTTTGAACAAAATATATCTTCCATAAAGGCATTTAGTCTTATTTAGAAATGTCAAGAGAGAGAGAATTCGCTTCTTTTCTGGGTAGTTTGTTCCAGTAGTTTACGCCAACAATATTTCCAGAGCCTACAGAATTAAGGGATATTTTCTGTACTTATATAATTCCAGCTCTCATCTATGCAGACAGAAATTCATTACAGTCAACAGACCTCGATCATCACTGATTTAAGCCAAAAACTTTAAGTTCCATTCACTGTCTTTGCTTTTAATATCATCAAACATTTTTTTCAAGCCAAGAACCCTCAAAATGTTTACTTGTTTGGCAGGGAATAGTAAGTTTCTCAGGTTGTACTGACTATTAGATAAGGACTGAGGATGTTTGGGTGTGCAGATAGCATAGTAAATGTGGATCTTCAAAAATTTACCCAAAAAGACATGGCCATACCCCACTGGCAAACAAACTTGTACAGCTTGGAAAGAAAGTCAAGTATTTGCTAAAGAACTGGATGTTTAGCATGGATCGAGGAACACAGCGGGTGGTTGTTCTCAATGCAAGATCATCCTTTTCCTCTGCTTTGGAAATCTCTTTCCACCAGCTCACTTACTTAGGTGAACTGATTTTGCATTGTTTTCAATAATTTCTTACTCTCACTGTCTTCATTCATTACATTGTAAATATGGATGTCACAGTCTCTTCAGTAGTTTGCAATAAAGTTGTTGCAGTAAACGGATGTACGGGGTGGGTTCATGGTCAATGCAGTCAGCAGTTGCTGCAAGCTACTCCTACCACAAGAACTGCCACAGAGGCAGTCAACTTCTGCTCATCTCACATAGCTGGCCTTCTAGCAAAAAAATGGAAATGGCACTGCTTCCCTGTAAAGAAGCACAGAGTAACTGCCCTTCCCATCAGCCAAAAGCTCCAGCTCAGCTAAGAAGGCAAAGAGTTAAAGATCGTATGGGACATGCAGGATATAAGAATGGGATCACAGGAAAACAAAGGCTCATGAGCAAAAAAAAGGTGGAATGAAGAAAGGATCATGAAGGGAATTAATAAAAAAATTGTGTAACTGGTAATGTCATCTTTATCTGAGTTTTTTGGATACTCCTGTAAAATATCCCATTGTGGGCTACAGTGTTGTTCTATTAAGTTTTTAATATAGGGAGTCTTTCTGCAGCACAACGCACCACTGCTAGAAAGTGTACTATGTCTGGGTTCATGAAGATAATCAATAGGGAGACCAATATTGCAAACATAGGCACCACCCTGTCTATCATGGAAGTAATATTGTTAAACATTTCTTCTGGCACCTCATAATACTGTTCTGCTGGGAACACACTTAGGGAAAGCAACTTTTAACACCTGAGCTGCCACTCTATGGAGCACTTCTCACCAAAAATTCACGGAATCTCTTGCACAAGCTAAATTATACTTTCCCATTCTTCTCAAGGGCCAACCTTGAAAACTTTCATATTAGGACTGGTCTCTCTCTATGCTTTGGTACTAAGAGGAGTAAGAGGAATAATCTGATGTTGAATGTAAAATCAGTATTTGGAACTCTAGAAATTTCCTTGCCATTTAGCCTTTAGACACAAGATGGCAGCAAGAAATTCATTTCAAGATTTTGCTATCAGTAACTCAACGTTACCTGGCAGTAACTGTTCAGTATATGGGCTTGTGGCCTTGGTTATTGTGAGTATTTGA